AATTGTTTAAAAAGTAGATTTTTTATTTCTTTTTACTGATTTTTTTTTAATTTTATGCTTCTTTTGTCGATTTTTTCTTAGTCATAAAGTATTACAATCGAAACAGATATCAATTTTTAAAAACTTATCTACAGAAAGGCCGAAAAAACAATTTTTTTTCCCAAGTTAAATAAAAAAAATTAAGCAAAAATTTTTTTTACAAAAACTACGTTTAAAAATTACAGGAAAGCTAATATGGTAATAACCTTTTTTGTAGAAAATTTATTATTCTATATCTTTGTTAAAACAGAATTTTGATAAAATTGATACTTTTTGCAAAATAACCAAAAAAGTAAAATTAGACCCATTTATATTATATTTTTCTTAATAAAAAACAAAAAAACCGAGAGATTTTTTTTATTTTTGGTATTTTTTGTCAATAACAGGCATATAATCGATTTATGAAAAAAAACCGTGGTTGCCTGATGATCCGAAAATTGACCCTAAAAATCCACCGTGCATATGGAAGTCACCGCGTGATAAATAAAAATCATACGAACGTCACGTCGTGATTTTCACAAATTTTATTCATACGGACATCATCCGGATGTCACTGCGTGAGAAATAAAAATCATGTCGTGATTTTTTATGCCATCGCTGTTTGCGATTGACCGATGGCACAAAAAATCATGTCGTGATTTTTTATGCCAACGGTGTTTGGATAATCATTTTTGCGCTACGTTCGTACACTAAGAGAAAAATTATGTTGAATCATGATTGCGCAACAGTTTTTGCGGTTAAATACATTTAATATTTTCTTGAATTTAAATTAACTATATATAGTTAATTTAAATCCAAGAAAATAGTGAATGTTAAACTGTTAATTCAATTGTTAACATACTTTTTCTTTCAATGTACGAATGTGTCGCAAAAATGAATATCCAAACACCGATGGCATAAAAAATCATGTCGTGATTTTTTATCACCAAACACCGATGGCATAAAAAATCATGTCGTGATTTTTTATTTCATCGGTGTTTGGATATTTATTTTTTGCGCCACATTCGTACGTTGAGAGAAAAAGTATACCTACATATATATTGAATCAACAGTTTTTGTGGTTAAATAAAAACATTCAATATATTTTTGGATTTAAATTAATAGTTAATTTACATTCAAAAAAATATTGAATGTATTTAACCGCAAAAGCTGTAAATTCAATTGTTAACATACATTTTCTCACAATGTACGAATGTGGCGCAAAAATAAATATCCAAACATGTCCGATGACATAAAAAATCATGTCGTGATTTTTTATGCCCAAACACCGATAGCATAAAAAATCATGTCGTGATTTTTTATGCCATCGGTGTTTGAATATTTATTTTTGCGCCACATTCGTACGTTGAGAGATATATATTGAATCAAGAGTTTTTGTGGTTAAATAAAAACATTCAATATTTTTTTAGATTTAAATTAATAGTTAATTTACATTCAAGAAAATATTGAATGTATTTAACCGCAAAAACTGTTGATTCAACATAACTTTTCTTTTAGTGTACGAACGCGTTCGAACGTGGCGCAAAAATGATAATCAAAACACCGTTGGCATAAAAAATCACGACATGATGTTCGTATGAATATCACGAATGTTGTCCTTTTTTAATTGAATTCAATTAAAAAAGGAGAACATTCGTGATATTCATACGAACATCATGTCGTGATTTTTTGACCGATAGCATAAAAAATCATGTCGTGATTTTTTATGATAACGGTGTTTTGATTATCATTTTTGCGCCACGTTCGTGCACTAAAAGAAAAGTTATGTTGAATCAACAGGTAACAAACTAGGTTTTAAATTCGCAGTTCGCAGGGCTATTACGCATGCGCAAATTTTGCAAATATCACACCGTGAGTTCTACATGATATCACTGTGATGAAGCATGTGTATGCACTCAGGATATCACGGCGTGATAAAAAAAATCACGTTGTGATATCATCATGATTTCACCAGGAAATCCCGATTGTTGTCCGGGTAGTTGCATCCATCAAAAGATCAAAACTTCTTGCAATATTTCACCCTCTTTTTATACTCTCAGAAATATTGACTAGAACAGTATTAGAGAGACTCCAGTTTCTATAACTTGGTAGAGTAAAGAGAAGTCGAAACCGTTGCGATATTGCATTGCGCTGTTTTTGTATAATTCTCGGGGACATTAACGAAAATCATTGCCAGTAAAATTCGAAAAGCTTGAGTTTCTATGTCTCTGAGGAGAATAGGAATCCGAAGTTGCTGCACCATTGAACTGAACCCTTTTTTAATAATTTCTAGAGACATAAATGACTGCACCATTCGACAGGGTCGAGTTTCTACTCCTCTGTTGAATATAGAAAATCAAAATAATGTATCTTGTAAGACACCATTGAGTTTGACTTTAAATATAGTCGTGCATAGGTATAGAGCCGAAAAATATAAAAACAAAGCACGATTCAATACAGTTATGATAAAACTTTAAGATCTGATATTCAAACGCGGAGTCATCCTATACACTTCTATAATTTTCCGTTTGCTGTGTAGGACGGGAAGCAGATCGTTTTTCCTTAACTAACGTCCCGAGTCCGCCCGCTTCGAAACCAACCCAAACCAAACAACCCAACCCAACCGACCCCGCCCCATTGAGTAAAAATTTTTCAACGAAGGAATATTAATTTAATTACATTTTATATTATGAGGAAAGGTAAATAAATTAAAATATTAATGTAAAATTAAATATAAATGCTTTTAAGGCCCCATTGTATTATTTCGGTATATAAATTCTTAAAAAAAAAAATTAAAAAGAGGTAGAGGCGCCAAGTATCGAACCCCGTATCACTCGCATGCAAAGCAGGCGCCCTTCCATCGAGCTACCGAGCTTATTGTAAAAATCCTATCGCTCAAAAAATAATACTGATTTACAGCCCTGTTGTAAATGACATATAAAATCATATATGAAAAATCCCTGCTGGTATGATACTATATGATTTTTGAAACAGACATTACATATAAGACCATATTGAAAACGCATATTCATTTCACGAGGCGTTAAAATCCGAAATGTATTCCATCTCACCGCAGCGAATAGACCTATCCCATAAAACAGACTTTTGGATAGCGCGTGCCTGAAGAAGAGTGGTATCTCTTTCTCTTTTATATAATTAAAAAAAGACGACGTGCTTTTCACGCACGCGCTATCCAAAAGTCCGTTTTATGAGATAGGTCTATTGTAATCTAGAGTCCCGTCAGACGGTTCTCTATTGCGCTCCCGTTAACAGAGTGACGTCATCCAATGACGCAATCTTAGGACGGTAAGCAGATCTTTTTTCCTTAACCAACGTCCCGAGTCCGCCCGCTTCGAAGTCAACCCAAACCCAACAACACAACCCAACCGACCCCGCCCCATTGGCCCCCCCCCCCGCCCCATTGAGTAAAAATATATTATATAACTAGCAAAATGATTATGAGGAAAGGTAAATAAATTAAAATATTAATGTAAAATTAAATATAAATGCTTTTAAGGCCACATTGTATTATTTCGGTATATAAATTCTTAAAAAAAAAATTAAAAAAAGTTGTAGAGGCGCCAAGTATCGAACCTTGTATCTCTCGCATGAAAAGCAGGCGCCCTTCCATCGAGCTACCGAGCTTATTGTAATAATCCTATCGCTCGAAAAATAATACCGATTTACAGTGTGTGACGTCACAAAGTGGAATACATTTCGGATTTTAACGCCTCGTATTCATTTCTACACAGGCACAGTGTTCCCAACCTTTCAGAGTAATAATTCCCTTGTTGCATGGCAAAAATTCCCTATTTCGTGCCAAAATTCCCTGCTTTCAATGTTGCCAAGAAAAATGACTTCATATCAAAAATACAATTTTTAAAACAAAAAAATATGATCTAAAAATAAAATAAAAAACAAAATCTGAGGCATATACTGCAAAAGCGGCCTAACTGATAAAAAATCATTTTGTGTTTTTATCTTAAAATATTCCTATTATGCGCTTATCGAGGGAACTAGCCTAATAAAGTGTATTTTAATATACAGAGTAGTAACTACTCTTCATATTAAAACACACTTTATTAGGCTAGCTCACTTGATAAGCGCATTATAGGAATATTTCGAGATAAAAACACAACTTTTTTTTTCAGTTGGGCCGCTTTTGCAGTATGCGTCTCATCTAACAAATAAATTATTAAAATATTAAGGTAAACGTGAAATAAAATTTATTTCATTTAATTTGATTAAAACTCGCAGTTTACATATAGTTAATTCTTCTTCTTCTTCTAGCCACAACATTTAAATAATTAGGCTGCGTTTTTTTTAAATTTGGGTCACTTTATTAAATAAGTGTAATCTATAATGTGGGCTTTTTAATAATAAATATGAAAAATTCCCTAATTTTAACAATTTTTACTAAAAAATTCCCTTTTCCCTTTTTGGTACCAAAATTCCCTAAAAAGGGAAAATTCCCTGCAGTTGGGAACACTGCACAGGCATATAAAAAACTGACCATATACAATTTATTAAGTACCTATAAATTCATATTCATTCATATATGATTTAAGATGGATTTTCATATAAATTTCTGTCATATAAAACCATATAAACACATACAGTTCATAATACTGATTACATATTGAATCCATAGTGTCATATAACAAACTATAAAAACATATAGAAACACTGTACGGATTCTATATGTTTCTACTGGTCATTTTCAACAGGGAGTGTATGACGTCACAAAGTGTTAACGGTAGCGCAATAGAGAACCATATACCCATTGAGTAAATCTTACTCAATGATATACCTATAATACCTATAGTTATAGCATTGAGTAAGATCAGGGTCCACCCTGAGTAAGATCTTTACTCAATGGTTATAGCCTATAACCAGCCTATAACTTATAGGTATATGTAGAGAACCGTCTGACGGGACTCTAGACCATAGACTACTACTGCTCTAGACATTATGAATATTTATTTAGATTTTCGTCTTATTTTGACTTGCTTAATCTGCTCCTAAATTTATTCCACTAAGTTTACGGACACCTTGTATAGAGAAACAACATATTTATCAAATCCACATTTTGTGGATTGTGATATTTATTAGGTTGTTAAAAACAGATATGGCAGCACTGGCTCTGAAATTTTTAGGTTAATTTTACATCAAATTGTTGTTTTTCTTGTGAAAGGACTAGTAATCTAAGTAATATTATTTTTAATAACTGTAATCATTTGTAAATTATGAAGGAGGAAGTTTGTTTGCAATGCAAAATAGTGACGGAAACAGCCTCAAACAGATTGGTTCAGGATTCTTGTGGTCATTTAAAATGCAGAATTTGTCTTTTAAATGATGAAAAAAGTTGTAAACAATGCTTTGATTTAAATACATATAAAACAGAGAAAGGGAATATTATCAATAATGATAATTTAAGTATAATTTCCAATGGTTATCATAAAGAGCAAAATATAAACCAAAAACAAAACATAAAGACTAATTTACTACAAAAAGAAAGAAAAACAAATAAAGTGGATACAAAACTTAAGAAAGATAAGAGAACATATAATGAAATTTTAATACCCAATCATATTACAGTTTCCGTTGATGCTAATTCTTATTTGTGTACTATTTGTAATAAACAATTTACAACCAAAGCACATGTAAAATATCACTCTTATTGTGCAGGAGGTTAGTATTTAACTGGGTTATGATTTTAATCAAAATTTGAATCACAAGATTTAAATTGAAATTTAAATTACACCCTACCAACAATGACGATATGGTTTGTGTCATTGTCAGACGTGTCGTCAATTTATTATAAATACCTATTTAACTCAAAATTTCTATTGCAGCAAGTTTATTATACCCACATCAAAATGCAAATATTTAATTTAATCTACTGAGAAACAATGTTTGGAAGCTTCTTAACCAAAGATAATATCTTTGTTCTTAATGACTCATTTTGACGATAGACACTTTAAAAATTCCAGTATTGTCATCCTAATTGTCTGACGTGTCTTCAATTTATTTTAATTATTAAAATCAACTGCTAGTAGGCGCCACAATTATTTTTTGTTTATTTTTTTTTCAGTTTTACATTATCCTTAACTCATATGGAGCTATGTGTAAAGTGGTTTAGTTTAAAGCATTTCAATAGAATGTTAGTTTTAGATTACTTAGTGGACTGCGAATTCACAAAATTAAATGTATATAGGAAAAAAAATATATTTTTAAATATAAAAAAACGCTGAAAGCCCAGAAATATTGTATTAAATACTGTCATATGTTGGTGATGGAAACCATAAAAGAAAATTAAAAATCCACTGATACAAAAAAAAAATGCCCGTTTAGTTCCACCCTTACTTCTTAAGAATAAGCCAACTGAATGGCTTTTGCGGGTTAGGAGTAGGAACGGACCGTGGTCCCCTCCAAAGGACTATTACTGATAACTATCATTTGTTAAAATGAACCATTAACAATAAGTTTTATTTTATAAATATTCTTTTAATGTACATACTCATTAAAACTATAGATCCTAATTTTGCTATGACACAAAGATACTTTTAATTTTAAAGTATTAGGTATATTGTATATTTGTTTTTCTAATGATAGTAAAATGTAGTTTTTATTAAAATTTTGTCAATTGGACCAAAAAATAGACAACTAAGAATTACTTAACCAAATAATTTTTGCGCGTTAAATGGGCTCCATAACCTACTGCGCGACGTGTCGGATGACGAGTCTCTTAATGTTTTTCTTTATTCGTATCGTCATTGTTGCTAGGGCATTATTATTTAACTCAAAATTTCTATAGCAGCAAGTTTATTATAGACCAAACTGCAAATATTTTATTTAATCTAAACAATGCCGAAAGCTTCTTAATGACTCGTTATGACGATGGGCACTTAAAAAAAAGTATCGTCATCTTAATCGTCTGACGTGTTGTCAATTTATTTTAATAATTAAACTCGAAATGTATTGCAGCAAGTTTATTAAACATAATTATATCAATGCAAATATTTTATTTAATTCTGAGAAACAAAACTCGAAAACATCTTTTTATTCTGAAGACTCGTCATGACGATGTCGTTAACGATAGAAGGGACGTGTCGTAAAGTGTCGGATGACGATTCTCGTCATTTTTTTTGTTATTCGTATCGTCATTGTTGGTAGGTCATGATTTAAATCACTGATTTACACGCGATTTAAATCAAATTTTTTAAAATTTAAATCACGATTTAAAGAAAAAGTTAATGGATAAATTAATTTAGTAGAGAACAGATAAAATAGGTACTATAGGGCCATTCCACGCGTAAGGGATAGGACAGTTGCCGTGTTTTTATTTACAAAATAATATTGTTCTATTATATTACCAATGTCAAATTTTTATAAATAGTTCTAAACTAAAGCTGTTTAACAAGGTTTGTATTTGGCAAAATTAGGTATCGTGGTTGACTGTTTAATTCCTTAAAAACTAATAATTTAAGGAACTAAACAGTCAATCACAATACCTAATTTTGCCAAATAAAAACCTTGTTAAACAGCTTTTGTTTAGAACTATTTATAAAAATTTGACATTTGTAATATAATAGAACAATATTATTTTGTAAATAAAAACACGGCAACTGTCCTATCCGTTAAGCGTGGAATGGCCCTATACCTCTCCGATAAAATCACTTTTTGATATTGTTAAAACTTTAACCTTTAAAAAAGTTAAGTTGCCACTGAGGTCCAATTTTTTTTACAATGTCAAAAAAACCGGGACATTTTTTATGGATTTACCTTAATTATAAAAATGACGCAATGATAAAATTTTAATATAACCCAGATAGCAAAATGAATTCACTATGAATTCACTAGGAATTCACGCGTGAAAATTAAATTCACGCGTGAATTCATATAACGCGACAGATGAGTCCTCAATTGATGCTCAATTTGCCATCACGCGTGAACTTTTTATTTTTTGCGCATGCGCTTTTAGAATATGGATTTCATTTTTCAAAATAATTTAATCTGTCGAAATATTTATTTTAACATCTTAAAAAAATACACAAAAACTTGGTTTAAAAGGCCATAATTGAGAAGCAATCAGACTAAACCAGATAAATCCATTTCGACTTTTTGAATGGTTCCTATTTCTTTTGTTCATTTATCTGAACAAAAAATCCATTGGAAATATCTATTTCAAGCTAAACTTGTTATCATAATATGATATGATCATAATATTAATATTAATATTATATAATAATATATATATTATATACTAATATTAATATTAGTATATAATATATATATTATTATAATAAGTTTATCTTGAAATTCATTTTTCCAATTGATTTATCCGACTAAAAGAAATATGAATCATTCAAGAAGTCAAAATGGATTTATCTGGTTTTGGTTGATTGCTCCTCAATTATAGGTTATACATTACAATTATAACCTTAAGGTTAACTAATTAATTAATTAATATATAATATACATATATTAATTATTAATGTACCTATAACATATAATTGTGACCTTTTAAACCAATATATATTATGTAATTATATATATTACTATAATATATATTAGGGTGTGCCAAAAAAAGTTTAAGGCGAATTTTTTGTATCGTCAAAATTCTAAAAGTTACAGGCGTATAAAGTCATCATTTTTGTATTATTAACTTTAAATTTAAAGCTCTGGAAAAAATCAAATAATGAAAATAGAAATTCGGCTTAATAAGATTTTTTTGTCCAAATTTAATGCTTTCTAAGAATTAGTCATGGATTTTATGAAAAAAAAAATTCTTCCTAGGTTGCAAGAATAAATAAGGTAAAAAAGTCAGTTTTCTGTGCTATTTAAGCGGCAAAACTTCAGATTCGATGGAGGACCTCTTAAAATTGAAATTATGAGCTCCGCTTTTAACAGGATATTTGTTCGGACATATTCTACGATATTTTGGGTGGAGAGCAAGAGAAAAAAAATATCGAGTTTTTTTGGCACACCCTAATATATATAATTATAATAATATATTATAATATATAATTATATAATATAACTACTTATAACTTAATATATTATATAATTGCGCAATGGAGCTGTGCGAATTTTAAAAATGTAACTAAAATAATAATTCCAAAATTCGCGCGTCAGGTAATATTTTGATATTAGAATATTAATATTCTATTTATATTTAAACGTGCAGTTTTTAATCATGCAATCCATGTATTTTAAAATAAAATCGATTAAATCACACGAGACTATAATATGAATTCATAATGTACTCACGTGTGAATTACGAGTTCAAGACTTCACGTGTGCAATCATATAGCACACATTATTCACTCACGCGTGATTTCGTATTCACGTTTGCTATCTGGGAATGGTCTAAATGGTAAATTTTACGTTTTTTAATTATTGTTAAGACACATTCAGGCCAATTCACTACATGAGTCGTTAACGTTAGCCACTAGAATCAGTGGTTATCGGCCAAAAATATAACAATAATTCTAGTGACTAAAGATAACAAATTATATTATTAAATGCTTTAATTAAGGTAAACTTACACAAAATGTCCCGCTTTTCTTCAACATAATATGCGAAGCCTATTACAAAATTCTACTGAAATTTATTCAAAACTGGAATTTTGCGGGCATTTTTGTTTTAACATTTTGTTTGATTTTTTTAAAAAACAACCCTGGTATTTAAATATGTTCTTTTAAAACTAACTGACAACAATTTTTAGCCCTTAAATTATTTAAATGTGATGTTTGTAACAAGGATTTTATATTAAAAACTCAACTGGATATGCATTTATATAAACACCAGCAACAGGCACAGTATACATGTAATGTTTGTGGAAAATCATTTATTGAGAAAAGCAAAATGAAAAGGCATTCTCTAGTGCATAGTAAATTTAAATCACATGTATGTTCTATGTGTGGTAAAAAATTTAAAACTATGCAGTCACTAAAAGTGCATTATATTATACACAAAGAAGACAAGCCCTTTAGCTGTTCGACATGTAAGGCTAAGTTTAATAATTCCTCAAATTTAAAGAAACATTTAGCTTCTCATTCAAGTAAGTATAATTCATCATTATTAATAGTATAAGTCACTGCTGTATTTAAGTAATAAGTTAGATTTTTTAGGGTTACAGATATACACAGTGTCCCACAAAAAATCTTTATTATTTACACGTGATACATATTTTATTTAAATAGCAACATTTGTCGTATATTTTTAAAACTTCAGTTCCACTTGTAACTTTTATATTTATAACAACTTGTAATTAACATCACAAATACAGCAGGAAACTTTAATACTGACATTTGCTTTTAGAACCAAGGTTCTTGATTATTGTTATGCCTATTTACCAAAAGGTTACAAAAATCATTAAATTTCTAAGTGGGTCTAAGTGACTTAAGTCAATTGAGTTCGTTTTTAATTGGGATAGTGGTTCAAGGTTCTATATTTGGGATCGGGGCAGGTGAACACAAATAGATTTACGTTAAATATTATTTATTGAAAAAAAATACAAACAGTACGAGTTTATAAATATTTAAGTATTATTTATTAGGAAATTTGTTTTGGCCTTTATTAAAGCGTTAACTTATTTAGAATTAATCAATGTTTTGCAATTTTCCTTTATTTTGTCAGTTTGACGGTTTCACGAGAGCGGAATATGCAATTCCAAAAGTGTTTCAGACTATACTTTTTCTACGTTTCCAAAAAATACTATAGAAAAATAATTTAGTTGGAAGAAAGTGAGGTTGGATCGGTCTAAAATTTGTTAGATATTAATTAAAAACAGAGATGTCGCCACGAGTGTTTATTCTGTCATCAGATGATAGAATATTTCATTCTGTAACACTTTACGGAATATATGTCATTCCATGATATTAGAAGGGTCAAATTCCGTAATGGGAGTAGAAAATGAAATATTCTTTCATCTGATGACAGAATAAACACTCGTGGCGACATCTCTGTTTTTAATATCTAACAAATTTTAGACCGATCCAACCTCACTTTCTTCCAACTAAATTATTTTTCTATGGTATTTTTTGGAAACGCAGAAAAAGTACAATGTCTACAATTATTTGTTAAAATTTGAAAACTAATATCTTTAATTTTCAATATCAAATATCTTAGTATCAAAAACTCATATGAAAAAACTTCATTTGACTTTTTGATTTCTCTTTACCATCTCTTTATTTTAGCGCTTCAAAAATTTTTTTTTGAAAATTTTGAAAATCAGTATTTTTGTACAACAAAATGGATGTTTCTCAACCCGAATTGAATTTATACAAGGTGTCCCTAAACTTAGTGGAGTAAATTTAGGAGCAGATTAAGCAAGTCAATATAAGACGAAAATCTAAATAAATACTTTTCCTAATTACGTATGTTTAAAAGATACAGGGTGATGAAGTGTTACTTATCATATCAGTTTTTTAATATAACTTCTACTATGGTAGATTTGGAAAGGTGATATTTTGCGAACAGTCACTTACTACCAAAACACATATTCACACATAATTATAATTGTATACAATTGTTCAAGTGAACACAGTGTCGCAGAAACAGGGGTTGCTTAAGCTTATTTTCCCATACAAAATTTAAGGTTAGGTTTTTATACCATTTGATGCAATTTTTCTATTACTCAGTTCGGCTACTATTAAAAAGGTGTACCTCTCAAACTTCGATAAAATAAACCGTTTCCGAGATATTCGAGATTACAATAATTGTTATATCGCATTAAAGGACTAAGCAAAGTAAGATACCAGAGCTCCCAGTCCTAGTAATTTTAGTAATGCTAAGATTTTTTTAATAAATGTGTAGTAGGTATGCGTACTAGCCAACTTAAAAGCAACATGTAATAAAGGTGCATAAATCACAAGTTTAACTATTAAAGTATTATCGCTGGTTTTCATATATGTTTTACACAATATTATTTATTATTGTGAGACGCTTTCCGTAGGTCCTAACTTCCGCTGGACGCTAACACCCCCAGACATAAAATTTCGGGGCCCGGGGCAAAAACATTGGTATCCCTCTTTTTCAAAACTAGCTGCAATGTTTTTATGAATTATAATTACAACTTATTTTGTGTAAATATTCGAGTTTCTGAAGAGTTTTGCATGGCAAAGTATCTGTGCAAAAATAAGCAAACCTACCTCACAAATAAGGCATTTCGGGTTTGATCTTTGATTATCACACCCTGCTTAAAGAAAACGATACAGTACCATTAAAAATATTTAAATCCTAATTTCTAAAACGTTCAATCTTGTTTTATTATTTTTAATTGCGTTTTGGTATTGGGATACATTTCAATCGGACAATATTGAACTGAGATTTAAATCGGTTTTATTCGACGTTCAATTTTAATTGTACTGAATTAATTCCAATTGGAATATATTTTTGGAAACTATTAATGGGGTTTAATCGTCAATTTCAAATGGTATGAATTGGAATAAATGAATCGGCGTTTAATTGTGCTGAATTAAAAAATAATTTTAAAACTATTGAACTAAGATTTCAATCGATTTTAACCGATGTTTACATTCGTTAATTTCCAATTTTTGGTTTGTTAGGTCGATGCAAACACTTTAGGATTGAGTAATTTATCTAGAATCTGTTTAACTGACCTTAGTACGAAGTCTTACAGTTTTCGAAATATTGACCAATTGTGTTGTTGAAAAACTCCTACAAATCATTGGTTAGGCGCTATTACCGCGATAATTATAATTAGAAATAATAATAATAATAATAATATTAATAATTTATTGCCAGAAAAACACGTGACATAAGCAGGGCCGGATTTAGGCATGGGCCACATGGGCCCAGGCCCAGGGCGGCAAATTTTTAGGGGCGGCAAATTTTGAAGGCCAGTCAAAATTTTGCTAAAAAATCAAGAGCGTTTTATGCAGAATTTTTGTTTTCACTCAGATTTATACACTAATTAAAACTATAAAAAGTTGGAAGAGAAGTTTTTTAATACATTAGATAATTTAATATCAGACTACACTATTATTCTGCGTAGTGCGTCACTGCGTAGAAGGGCGGCAGTCGATGTACACGAGGCGAGTGGGGCGCGACTCTAGCTTATTCGCTGAGTCATTCGTTATTCGGGGTAATGATGCGTTGGGCCCATGGGCGGCAAATTCGTAAATCCGGCCCTGGACATAAGCATTGTCATGACATATGCATATAAACATAAACATAATATGGTACTAGAAAAAGAAAAAGAAAAATGATTCCTTTACATGCATGAATATAAACATTTAGAACGAACAAAAATAAACATAAAAGAATAATTAAGTTGCAAATCTATAGATAAATAAATAGATAATATATATACAGTACAAATTAATTAAATAATAAATAAGATAAAAATATAATACGATTAATCAAGTCGAATTTACGCTTAGAATTTACGAAATCACTAAACGAATAGAAACATTGGTTTATCAGGTAGGTTCTTAGGACAAGTTTATATTCTCTAAAAGACTGAATTATTTTAATTGAGTTTGGTATTTTATTCATAGCTTTTATACACCTGATCAATACACTTCTATGATACAGGTTGGATGTATGAATTGGAATTCGCATCATTCCCTCAGATACGTCACGGTTTCTTAAAAACAGACCAGGATTTTTCCTTGAGATAATACACAGATTATAAATATACAAGCATGGTAGAGACAATATTGAATTTTTCTTAAAATATTCTTTACAAGAAGTTGTTCGCTTTAATCCCAACATCGATCTTAGTGCCCGTTTTTGTTCGATAAAAGCAGTATCAAACGTTATTGAGGACCCCCAGAAAATTATACCATAGGACAAAACAGACTGCACGTATGCAAAATAAAATGATTTTAAACTAAAAACAGATACGTGATTACTCATGAAACGTAAGATATAGCTTCCTTTATTAACTTTATTTATCACAGGTCTAATATGATTGTCCCAACTGAGGTTATGGTCAATGTTTAAACCTAGGAACTTTGTATGTTCGCAGTTGACAACCGATTTTCCATTTTCAAATACTAAAAGACTTTGCATTTTTGTGTTAACATTTTTATTAAAGATTAAAAGATTAGTTTTCGTAATATTTAAAAGTAGTCCATTAGTTTTGCACCACCCTGACATTATATTCATTATTTCTTTTATTTTTGTAGATAATTCAGGAATAGACTTAGATATAGCTAAACAAGACGTTTCATCCGCAAACTGATAGACGTTATTTAAATAAGTGTGTAGATCATTTAAGTATAACAGAAATAAATTTGGTCCCAATATTGATCCTTGCGGAACTCCTAGTTTTAGGGTTACCTTCTCGGAAAAGGTGCATGTTTTAGTTCCATTAACAATTGATTCAATAGCGACTACTTGAGATCTACCTGATAGATATGATTTAAACAGATTAAGACTTACCCTGTTTATACCATATCTCTCCATTTTCCTCAGCAGAACTTCGTGATTTAAAGTATCAAACGCTTTTGAAAGGTCAAAATAAATACCTGCCACCTTGAGGCGTTCTTCTAGATTTACAATAACACTCTCGATTAATTTATACATTGCATCCGTTGTTGACCTATTCGGCAAAAAACCAAATTGAGTAAGTGACAAAATATTCTATTTAAGTAGTACAAAATTAAACGCTTGTTAATAAGTTTTTCGACAACTTTTGAGAGTACTGGTAATAGGGATATCGGACGATAATTACTAATATCAGTACTACAATACTATTCAAAATATGTTTGTTATCTTAACATAATGTTTAGGGGAGCGGCGGGTATTGGCGTACATGCGGGTAATCCCGTTAATGACAAATTTTTGATTGCGTATACTATTTTGGAAAAGTTAAAGCATAAAACGATGCCTATTTAGATATCTGGTAAATGGCTGCAAGAATTAAAAATCTACCTTATCAACAAAAACTTCCACACCAAAACAAAGTTTCTTGCATGGCGTCTTATAAGACCGCTGTGACTTTTTAATTACAACAAACAGTGATTGAATTGGTTTTTTAAAACAGTGCTGCCAGTATACGAACAATTAGTGTTTGTTGTTGATTTAAGT